CTTTAAAGAGCAGTGATTTCAAGGATATTGAACTATTATTATTTTAATTGTGTAATTAAATGAAATCAGTATCTCAGTACAGTGTTGCATGCAATAGCACTGATAAAAATTAATCATAAAATTTCACTATGTTTATTATTAGACTTACACCAAATAATATAGAAAAATCATTAAAATGGTGTCACTGAACTCCTGTTAAGAATAACAAATAGAATTCAAGTGATGGTTCAGTATTGTGATGCTTCATGCAGCCTGTTGCATTGATAAAGTAAAATTTTCGCTAACATGACCTCTTCTATTGGTCCTAGCATAGTTAATATGTACATAAATTTATTGACCAAGTATAGAAGTGTTTTAAAGACAGACTATCCATGAATGATTGTCCTTTACATGGATATTTATGGTCCTGTCGGGTCCGCATCAGTCCGTCCGTCCGTCCGTCCTTTTCGGGTGGGGCGGGTCCGTCCGTCCGTCCGCTTTTGAGACCCTACCCTTTTGAGACCCTACCTACCAAATGCTGAGGGCGCGCGCGCGATTTTGGCCACACCCACTTTTACGGCGGTAAAACGGCCTTTTCCTGCATTTTCGTCAATAGAGCGGTTGCAGTGACGTCACATTTGACGTCATAATTACTTCCGTATGGCAAAAATTAATGAGCCTCATTCGTTTACAGCAGTAAAGTTGCTTCTTCTAGAACTTCTTTCATACAGCACAAGGCAGAAAAGGAGTACAATTATAGCAGTAGTAAGCAGGAAAGTAGCGATAGCAATAATTATAGGAGTAACAAGACAAGATTATGTTCACTTCGGCCGCTTCGCTGGTTCTCTATCCGAGGACTTTTTGCATCCCTGGATCTAGGAAAATGAAAGAGCAGCATGAATTAGCCATGCTCATAGTTAAGGAAGCCTTGCCAGAAGAGTTTATAGCGCTGTACAAATGAATGGCAAATGTGGTCTCACTTTCTGATTCACTTTGATTCTTCCAATCCCTGTTCTTTTCACTTCCTCTGTCCTTGCTCAGCCTGTCACTTTCACACTCCTGCTCCTTCCCAGTTTCAACTCAACGGTGACAAACCATAACATGGGTCCTGGTCAACTCCTGAGTATAAGCGTTCTCTCCCAGTGGCTGCTTTCTAT